AGATGAATTAATTAGTCCATTTGGTTTGAAAACTAATTTTTTTAGTCATTTTCACTATTTTACTATTTTTATTTAAAAAAATAAAAAAATTATAAAAAAAAAACTAAAAGAAGTGCATGTGATACTATTCATTTATCGTAACTCTAGACTCATTATCCCTATTCATTAATTTTTTATTGCTTCTTGGTTACTCTATCTTTGAGAGATGAATTAATTAGTCCATTTGGTTTGAAAACTAATTTTGTTAGTCATTTTCACCATTTTACTATTTTTATTTTTTATTTTAAAAATAGAAAAAAACAAAAAAATAATTCTTTGATAAATAAATTAATTAGTTCCCTTTATTTATTTATAATACGGTGCCTATGATCACTCAAAACCAATACTCTAAACACACTTCCTAGACCAAATGGCAGGATGTACTTCATTAAGACTTCTTGCACAACAAATGTTACAAGGCATGCAATTCTCATTTATATTGTTTCCTACTTGTGCCTTGAAACGATGACTTCTGCACAAATATTATATGCTCAAACATATTATTTAGATCCTTATTTATTAAAAATATATTTTATTTAAATAATAAAATTATCTATAATTAATAATTATAATACATTATCATTATATTTTACAAAAAAATATCAAATAATTATTATAAAATAGAAATATATGTTGTTTAAATAATAAAATTATTTAAAGTTAATAATTATAATATATTATCAATATATTTTACAAAAAATATCAAATAATTATTATAAAACAGTTATTTGTATTTTGATTGTGAATATTATATTTATGCATTGCTTTTGTTTTTTTTTTTTTTAATGTCTAACCTCTCTTTTTTTCAGTTTCTATATTTATAGGACTATTATTATAATGTCAAATATATTATTTAAGCCCTTATTTATTATAAATATATTTTATTTAAATAATAAAATTATTTATAGTTAATAATTATAATATATTATCATTGTATTTTACAAAAAATATCAAATTATTATTATAAAATAGTTATTTGTATTTTGATTGTGAATATTGTATTTATTATACAATATAATATTTTTTATTATTTTAAATTATGATATAGATGATATATTATTTTACGAATTTGGATATAAATAAAAATTGATAAGTATTTTAGTAATATAATGTATTTGATAATTATACCATGTAATTAAATTAATATTACATTGTATTAGTTAAATATTATTTTAAATATATTAGTATAATAATATAATATTTTATTAATAAATGATTTATTTAAATATCAAATGAAAATTGTTCCCCTTTTATATAAATAATTTATTTTTATATTTTTTATCATGAAATTAGGTGTGAAAATATAAAAAAAGATCATTATTTTTTTAGTTTACGTATAGTTTGACAACAATAGAATATATATCATATTTTTTAAAATTTTAGTTTGAACCTATATATCTGATTATATTATTTTTATTATTTAAAATTTATTTCTTCAATATTTTTTTCTTATTAAAATTCTCATCGAATTAATTTTTAAAATTTATATGATTTTATTGTTAATAAATTTGATTTTTTTATACATGGCTTTTGAAATAAAATTTTAGAATCCGATTGTTTTATTTTTTAAAAATATATTATTATAATTTATATGATTGATTATTTTTATAATTTTTCAAAGAAAATGATGAAATTTTGATGAGAAAAGGAGAGCTAGAACTGTATTTCAAATATTATAATTATTCTAAAAAAACTAAAAGACCAAGGGTTTTCCTTGTTCATTTACTATCGTATTTTATTTATTTATTTTAGTGTTAGCTCTGGAGAAGAGGGCTCTAGTAGGCGGCTTGGCTCATTTCATCGTAGTTTTGTTTCCCCAAGGCTAGCTCGGAGAAGCATTTTTTTTTTTTTTTTATAGGGTTGGTATTGAGAAGCGGCTTAAGTAGGCTTGCACAAGCGGTCCCAATCAACGTTTGCCTTCTCTTTTTTTTTTCTTTTAATAATTTATTTTTATATTTTTTTATCATGAAATTAGGTGTGAAATATAAAAAAGATCGTTATTTTTTTTTAGTTTTGCGTACGGTTTTACGGTAATAGAATATATATAATATTTTTAAAAATTTTAGTTTAAACATATATATCCGATTATATTATTTTTATTTTTTAAAATTTATTTTTTAATTGTTTGTTTATTATTAAAATTCACGTCGAATTACTTTTTTTATTTTATATAGTTTTATTTGTTAATAAATTTGATTTTTTATGTATGTATTTTGAAATAAAATTTTAGAACTTGATTTTTTTATTTTTTAAAATATATTATTATAATTTATATGATTGATTCAGCAAATGTTGTACAAGTTAAGCGATGATATATAATTCGTTCATTCACTGGGAAAGAAAACATATATATTATTGGTCCATTCAATATCCCTGAACTAATATTAATTCTTTCTTCAATTATTTGTTTCTTATTAAAATTCTCATTAAATTAATTTTTAATTTTTTGATATAATTTTATTTGTTAGTAAGTTTGATTTTTTAATACATGAATTATGGAATAAAATTTTAGAACGCTAATGTTCTATTTTTAAATTATATTATTATAATTTATGCAATAAATTATTTTATATTTTTAAATGAGTGTTTTATTTTTTAATACACACACACACACACACACACACACACACACACACACACACATATATAGAGAGAGAGAGCTAAAAGTATGTTTTAGATAGTTTGACTCAATTTTAAAAAAATAATAATGAGTTAAAAAAATTCAAAAGTGTTATTTGCTTTTTTTATATATTTATTTAGAAGTTATCGGAATCCATTTTTTTGTAGTTTTTATTTTAATCTATCGGCTTCAATATATTTCTACGACTTATGTGGGTTTTTTTTTTGGTATATTTTTCTATTTATTTTATATACTCTAAATTATATATATATATATATATATATATATATATATATATATATATATATATATATATCACTAAAAATATTTTTTTTTACTTGCATTACACCATACTAAGCATTAACTCTACACGTATAACGATTGTATGTCCGTAGCATAGCGCGGGTATCCAACTAGTATACTCTAAATCTACTTACGATGATCTTAATTTATGAGAACCAATTTTGTAGTAGTTTTTATTTCAATTTATTGACTTTAATATATTCCATACAACCTAGATGGTTTTTTTTTATTATTTATTTATACTATATACTACGAATTTAATTACGATGATATATAGTTTAGTTGAAAATTAATTATGTACTTACATACATAATACCATTAGTTCCTTTGATTCAAAAAATAAAATTTTTTCCTTTTTTGCTATATCAATGGTTCTATTTTTTGTTTTAATAAATAGAGAAAGAATAAAAAAATAAGTAAAAACATGAAAACACACACACACACACACATAATTAGTTTTGTTAAAAATTAATAATGTATCCGCATACATAATACCGATTATTTATAATTTATTTTTTTATATTCTAAAATTAATATTTTTAAATAAAAAAATTGAAAGATATAAATCATTAGTTTTGTTATAAATTAATTATCTATTTGCACATATAACCTCGGTTATTTGTTATTTATTCTTTTTTTATGTTTTAAAATTAATTTACATTAATTATGAAAAATAAGATTTTTACCCATACTACACCATATAAATCGTTGATCTTACATATAAGATTATCTGACCGCAACATAGCGCGAGTAGATAACTCGTGGAATCTAATTCGAGAAGCATCATTCAACGTAAAAAGAAAAAAAAAACCCTCAATTTAATGTAACTTTCTCCATTAGTTCATATTTCCTCCATCCTACCTTATTTCTCCATATATTTTTGAAAAAAAAATGTCTGTTTACTTTTTAAATGAAGCATATGAAAAAAATTGATTTTTCAACCTCGTCCTCAATTATTTAATTAATTATACAATAAATGGAGGAATCCATAAATACTATCATTTGATAGTAGTGATGCAATGCTTCTTAACTCACATAAAAATAAAATCCATCCTGGTAATCACTAGTTGATCAATAGGGCTCCATTTAAAGGATGTTTGGAACTCGTTGAATTGAATTGAATTGAATTGAATTTAGAGATTTTAATGAAATCTCATGTTTGGAACCATTTTATGAAAAATTGAACTCTAAAAATGATACAAAAGTAAATTAGAGGCCTTGCTTGAAGTAAAGAGGAGAAATTAATGTTAAAAATTAGCTTTTTCAAAATACCCATTTAACTTCTTTTTTTTCCCTCCACTCTTTTCTCTCTAGTCAATAATAAGCATACACAACGACAATAATAATAATAATAAACAATAAACATATAGCGCTATTAAAACTTTAATTAAATTATCAAAACATTTTTCTCCCATCTCAACTTATATCATGTATCCTTCCTTAATTCTATAGCTAGTGTAGCCTTGAGAAAATAAGGTTTTAGGGACATGTATTTAGATTTAATTTTCTGGGTTATTGGTGGTAATGGTGATAGAAGAGAATTAAAGAAAGAGAGAGGGATTGTAGTATTTGAAGGAAGTGAGTTTTTTTGTGGTTGAAAATATCTAGAGTATTGAAAAATCTTTGAAAGAATAAGATAAAAGAGGCGAGAGTGAAATAGAAAATAAAATGAATTGAATTCACTAATAAAATATCTGTATAAACATATTAATTCAATTCATTTATCAATTAAATTCTATTTGAGTATTATAATTGAATTCGTTTCCACACCCCATGCTAATTAGCCTACCCGCTTAAAACCTTATTGGGCCTGGCCATAATCTAACAAAGCTGACCTTCGAAAATCCGGCGCAGGTCTATTGCCGACCCGATTAAAACCGGATCCACCCTCATCCTTGCTCAGCTTATAACCCCCCAAAGGCGGAAGAAATGATTCTGTTCTCTTCTCACACTGCCGTTGCTCTCTTCTCTCTCTTAAATCTTCGAATCAGCATCTCTAACGAGACCCTAAAAACCCTAAACTCTTAGAGTTTCAAAGATGTTAGACATCAATTGTTTCGCGAAGAGAGAGGCAACAATCCAGAGAAAATACGCGAGTCACAACGCCGTCGTTTTGCTAATGTCATTGATGTCGTTTTTAACTGTTGTTTGATATCGTTTTCTTGCAGGTCAATTTGAGCTTGATAATTTACGTAGAGAGTTTAATAAGCAGAACAAAAGAGTCGCGCAGCTTAAAATCGTAATTAATTAATAATTAAGTTTTTAATTTTTGTGTTTAATTTTTTCATTTACTAATTTAATTTGTTTGAAATTTATTTATTGTATTTTAATTTTTATTAATTTTCTATTAAAAAAAAGGCGAAAGAAGATGCAACGGAAGCAATTAAAGATACTGAAGAGACGAAAAAATTGATAGCTGATAAGGAAAAAGAGGTGCAAGAGGCTAAAGATGCGCTGTATTCTAGATTGTCAACTATTGGTAATCTCGTGCGTGATTCAGTGCCGTTTGACAATAACGAGGTGAGTGTATTGTTGTCTCTATTCTTGTGGGCGTATATATATAGATTGTTAATCCTTGAATGTTGGAATGATTGGTTAAAAATGTATGTTGTGTTTTTTGGTTGTTATGTAGGATAATAATGCTGTGATTCGGGCGTGGGGGGAGAAGCGAGTGGAGAAGAAGTTGAGGAATCATGTTGACCTTGTTGAACTTCTGGGAATTGCGGACTTGAAGAAAGGTATGTGGGCATTCCATATTGCTGCCTCTCTTTAAATTGACTGACACACATGCAAAATTGTGTCCAAGATGACCGTCATTTTAGGATTTGGATTGGATGACGTATGGACTATAATTTATGTTACTTAATCTCTTGTGACAAGGGTTTTATGTCATCCATGAGGGTTTAGTTATTGGGGATTTTTGTGTATGGTGTTGGTCAAATGTGTTAGATTTATAGATGTTTGGTATGATTATTATAAGCCCCTGAGCCTAATCAATGGAACTTGATGATCTTAGCTTATTGTTGTCTAAACCTTGTGGCTCCATCATTGCTCACTGGTTTATGAAGCTGGGCTTTTGACCTTGAGGGACTCCCAGTGTAGATTAATCAGTCCTGATGTTTCATTTTCATAATGAACCATCAAAATCGCATTTCCCTTTTTGTCTATAGCCTGTAAAAAGAGTAGTTCGGAATGTCTTGACGCTTTGGCATGTGAAGTTTAAGTTAATATGGATGTTCTGGAAATGATTAGGTGCTGATGTAGCGGGAGGTAGAGGCTTCTACCTCAAAGTTGATGGTGTCCGACTTAATCAAGCATTGATCAACTTTGGCCTGGAATTCTTGGAGAAAAGAGGGTACACGGCCTTGCAGACACCCTTTTTTATGAGAAAAGATGCCATGGCAAAGTGTGCCCAGTTAGCACAATTTGATGAAGAGCTTTACAAGGTGAGTTGTAGAAAGTACTAGGGCATAAACATATTCTCTGAAAGTCTACATTTTGAACATCTCAAATATACGAACAAAAGCAGGAAAGGAACCTTTGAGTAACTGCTGCAATTCTCTCCATCACACCTTGTAGTTGATGTCCAGATTATGAGATACTTTACTTCACTTCTTAATAAATTAGCCTCTCTCCTGGTTACCTTTAGGTTTTGGTTCTGTAGATTTTCTGTTGGGATCATATAGGTACTTTAATTGTATGAGTGGTATTACCCAAATATCTGCTTTCATGCCTATTATTTGCAAGATCATCTAACACATTCTTCTATTAGGATTGGAGGGTCAATTCCTCGTTAATGACTGTCATTGGTCTGATTGTGATGCATTTGCATTATTAAACTAGTTGTTGGTTACCATGTGCATTTAGATTTTGCTTAATATGAGAATGCCACAATGAGTTTATGAGTGATCCACGGTGTTAACGTTCTAAGCCTGCAGGTTAGATGTGCTGAATTCTTATACTTTGTGCTAGTAGCACTTAATTATATTAAATTTCATTATTCTCTTGTATTTTATTATTATTATTGTTTTATTTTATTTTTTGCTGCAGTCTAGTGTGGTTCTGTTTTTTTGGGTATGCATTGGTGCCCTGTCTTTCTTCTTTGGGTTGTTGAAGTTGTAGCATGCTTAATTTGCTAAATGAAACCTTGTTTTCCCCCTTCTACTTTCTTACTCACTCCACCCTCCCAGTCTTCCGTAACACGTAAAAAATAAAGATAAAAGGAGGAAAAGAAGATCAAAACTCTTATTCAAGCTACCCTGACAAATCTGGAAAAAGCCACACAATTCATTAAACACTTGGCAAATGCTGTAGCAATCATGCTTCATCTCCACTGATCTACATCTGCATCTCCATGGGATATAAAGCAAAGAAGAATATAGAGAGAACAATTTGATAGAAGTCCACTAGCATTCAAAGCTAAACTAAACATTGCCCATGACACTCTCTAGGTTTTCCGAAGTAAAGCAATATAATCTATGTATCGTCTCACTGAGTTCAAGGGGAGATTAGGATTTGAGCTTTGATGAATAAAAGAGGAATCGGTAGAAATTCGCATAGCTGAAGCAAATCAAACCCATTTTCGTTTAAGTACGATTAAGAAAAACAAGGACAAAACTATAGTAGATTGGAAAACCCAGGAGATTCTATGGAAAATAGAAAACATCGAATTAAGCTGGGGCCTAAAAATAGAAACACATATATCAACACCCTAACCTAGTTAAGTTGATTGGTTACTGCTTTTAGAGGATGACCATCTCATGCTGGTTTACGAGTTCATCACCCGGAGCAGAATGAAGAATCATTTATTCTGGAGTGAGTTACTTATGCTCTTTCCTATTAACTGCCACTTTTGGTGTCTCTGTTTTGTGAAGAGCAGGAAATCCCATACCAACTGCACCTTATTTGTAATGTTGTTGAAGTATTGAATGAATTGAAAAACAGGAGGGTCTCACTTCCAACCATTTTCTTGGAACATTCGAATGGAAGTTGCACTTAATTGGTGCTGCAAAGGGGCTTGCCACTTCATGCGTAAGAGAGAAATTTTTTGACCTGTTAATATTCTTATTCAAGAAGTGTACAGATTTTGCATTGCTTTGTGTTGTTAATAAATATTTAAGTCTTCATTTCTTTTTTGCTGCATTGGTTGCTGACAGTCGGAAGTCAGAATCGGAAGTCAGAATCACGAAATACGCATTAATTTAGATATTGATTGCACGACTCTTGGAAGTCAGAACACGTAACGTGCATTAATCATCTCAATGGAAAAACTACTTAATAAATACATCAATTTTAAATTTTTCTTAATTAAATATATTAATTTTTATTTTTTAATATATTAATTTTTTAAAATATCAATTAACTTTTTTCATCTGATGCGATGATTTAGCAGTTAATAAAATGGTTATATTATCTTCTTCTTTTTAAAATTATTATTACTATTTAATTATAATTAAAAAAGAAAAAACAAATCAAGTAACATGTATGCTTGTCAACTATTATTTTTTTTAATTAATAATTAAACAATAATAATAATTTAAGAAGAGAAAAAAACAATACAGTAATTTAATCTTTTTGTTAATTAATATACAGAAAAAAACAATACACTATACACGGAAAATTGAACAAAAAAAAATTATTTGATATTGTCAAAAAAAATTAATATAAAAAACAAAAAATAAAAATTGATATACATTATTGAAAAAAAAAATATATATAATATACTTAATCTATCAAACAGTCTCATCACCCCCATATCTTTCAAGGCCCTTTTTGCAGGAGATAATATCCTCTCCTCTGTGCTCTGAGTAGACCTGTGAATTGTATTAAATTTCTTTCTCCATGTCTTCTCAATCAATCACAAGATCTTCAAAGATTGTAAATTTCTTTCTCCAAGCATCCTAAAAAACAGTACATTGTATTACGAAGAAACAGTATTTTGTACCTTTCAAACATTAATTAATTAATTTCTCAAAAATGCGGGGACTAATTTATAATTTTCTCCCGTCTTGTCTTCTATTTAAATTTGTTTAGGGCGACTTTCTGTTTACCCTAAAAGAGCCTCCCTGCCGTTGCTTATTGAACTCTCTTTCGAAACAATAACTGTCTCTGTTTCTGAATGGCACCAAAACGCCCCGCTCCCGTTGAAAATCAACCTTCTGCTTCTAGCTCTGAAGAAGAAGAGGAAGAAACTTCCAGTGGTGAAGAAGAAGAGGTGTCTGATGATGAACAAAGTCCACCCTCTCCTCCTCAAACACAAGACAAAACCACTCGAACCCGAAAGGCGACCCCCAAAAAACCGGAACAACCTAAACAGACTGTCTCGGCAGCAGCCAATAAATACAGATCTGAAACAGCTGCAGCTGCTAGTCCGAAATCAACAGCCATAAAGAAGTCCGAGGACACCAAAAAGCAGCTCTTTCAAAGGTTGTGGACGGAGGAGGATGAGATTGCACTGCTTCAAGGTATAATTCACTTTACTGCAAAGAAAGGTTATAGCCCATCAAAGGATATGAATGGGTTTTTGGATTTTATTAAGAAGTCGTTGCATTTTGATGTGTCTATGAGTCAATTGAAGGATAAGATTTTGAGGTCAAAGAAAAGGTTTGAGAATCAGGTGAAGGGAAAAAAAGGGGAAAATAAGATATTTAGCAAACCCCATGATCAGAAGTGGTTTGATTTATCGAAAAATATTTGGGGCAGTGAAGGATGTAGTAAAGCCAGTGAGAAGAAAAATGATAACGGTGATAAAAATAAAAGGGGGAAGGGAGGGAATGCAAATAAATTAGAGGTTTCGGAGGCTGGGCTGGATGTGAATCTGGAAGAGGAGGATAGAATGGAAGTTGAGATGGAGAGGGATGTTTCGAAGTTCTATAGCTGCGTGGATGATTATGTCGGGAGGAATGGATTGAGCTTTGTTCACGGAAGGAAGAAGGCTGATATGAAGGAGAACTGGAGGAAGCTGCGTGAAGCAGAATTAGAGTTGTATGTGAAGAGGGGGAAGTTGATGCTAGAGCAGGCAGAGCTGATGCTGTCAGCTTTTAAAGCTGAGTCAGCGGACAAGGACTAGCAAATTTTCAAGGTTAGAACTCTAATTTAATAATGTTATGCTTAATTTCTCATGTGGCAGAGTTGATGGTTGTTTAGCTTCGGCTTTGTGTTAATGATGCTATAGTTTTATAGACAGACTTGAAGATGATCTAACAGAGAATGATAGCTTTTGTGTAATGGCAAAGTCCTCAGAACCGGACAGCCTTGATGAGTCTTCATGTGTGTTATGTTTGGCATCCATATATAGAGTTCTTATATAGAGTTTAAAATTCTAAATTTTTTAGTAATCGGTAAGGCTTCTTGAATGTACAAGCTGCCTCTCTGAGAGATGCTGAATGGGTCTGGTTACGTGATAAAACTGCGTTGCACTTCTCTTGCAAAAAACCTTCTTAGTAAGAAAACCATAGATGCAGCCATAGTGGTATTAATGGCTTTGATCAGAAATAATCAGATGTTTTTTGCATATCTGTCTTATGTTGGATGATGTCCACACCACATGGGATAATGATGGCGAGCAATATGAGTCTTAAAGATGGTTTGCTGAAGGTGGCATGTTCCAGCATCATAAGCTCTTGCCCCCACAGATATCTGATACTCTAAAATAGAGTAAAAAATTATGATCCACTTCATGCAAATATACTTTTGGACATTTCCTACTAAAGGCTAAATAAACAGAACATTCGATTTCATAACTATCTATTGATATATAATTCTCAGGTATGCTTCATTGTATTTCTGCTATTAGGTGTCTTATTGAATTTTATCTGCGGCATTGAGAGCCTGCTATATCAGAAAAGAAGTAAATGCACTTCTTGAGAGTTTTTGAATGGGATCAATATGATTGAGATTGTTCTGATGGAAAAATAAAGCATAAGAGAAAATCCCACCACATCTTTATTTGTTATTCATTCTCCTTTATGCATGTCCTTTTGTAGGTAAGAACAAAGGACCATTGAATCAAGAAAGGGAGAAAGGGATGCTGTCGATTATGAAAGAAAATATGCTTGGCTTGATTAAGATTTTCTGTTTGCTGTTTATTGTTTATTGTGTTCAATTAGTTAATGCAGTTTTCTCTATATTATTTTTTAAGACTAATTTGACTGACTGCATCATCATGCATTATGGATTTGCATAATTAAATTATCAAAACAGTAACTATGAAAATCCAACCAGTAAGCTTGAAAACATGTACTTGTGTATTTATATGGCTCACTTACAGCACAAGTGGATCTGGGTTTAGTAAATGGACATAGGAATTTCTTTTTTTCACATTTTTTATGATGTCTAAGCAGAAGAAGACAACGAAAAGGCTAGTTTAAGCCTCCATTACTTGTAACTATGTATGTTCTGGGCATGTTATAAGCAGTGAATAAAAGAAATGTAAAGTTTCATTATTCACTTCTTGAGAGTTTTAAATAAAAAAAAATATATATATATTTTATAGGTAGTCTTGATTAAGTGTCCATGTAACTTTTACATGCCAGAACTTGAACTTAGGCCTCTGATATTATTTAATTATTAATGCAATGACAAGAATCATTAGTACAATCTTCGAAGATCATCTCTGCATTAGCTGAAAGTCTCTAAGCTTACTTGGACGTGATTCAGATTACTTATGATCGTATTTAGGTATAATCTGAAAAAAAAATTTGAGAGAGGATTTGAGTTTAAGATCAAATCATTATTAATCTGAAAAAAATATTAAAAAATTATCCTTGAGCTCTTTTATTTGAAGGAAGGGTATTTTCAGATTAATTGATTATTGACCTCATCAAGATTATAACCTAAAAAATAAAGGAATAAAATAAATTTCCTTGAAACCTTAATCATTCGGTCAGTTCCTAACCAAATTATTGATTAGTTGAGTTTTGCTATTATAATTTTATACTTGCAAATAGCCCACGTATGTGTGGGTGATTTGAGCTTTTTCATATGTGATTTTGTGAAGAATAGATTAGTATAAATAAAATCTATTTATATTTAATGAATATGTGAACTTTGTTATGTGAACAAAACGTTTTTATTCAAGATCCTACAAAATTTTAATACCATAATATGACATTAGAATGAATCTTTTTATTTGAAAGAATTATTTTTAATTTTTTTTGTGATTTTAATAGATTTAATGGTACATATGAGAAATTTTTTTTTTTTTTTTTTTTGTAATTAGCAAAATTTGTTTAAATAAAGGGTTAATGATTTCAGAAATCCTTTTAGTCTTTCTTTCGTCATTATCGTGTCTCTTTACTTTTTTTCTTATTAAGTTCATTTCTCCACGTTTAGTTTTTGTCTTAATCTGTCCTTTGTTAATTTTTAGACTAACAATGTTTACTTTTTTACTCTATTTTTTCAATCTTAAACTTGTTTGTTTACTCAATTTTAATAATTAAATTTTGAAGGAAAAAAAACTAGATAAAAGCTGATGATATATGCGGTCATTTACAAATTGAAAAAAATAAAATATTTTTTTAATACAAAATATTTTTTTATAGGTTTGAATTTGTCTCTATGATAATAAACAAATTTTAAGTATAAAATAAAATATTTATAGTATTTTTTTAATGTGTCTATGATAGTAAGTAAATTTTAAGTATTTTTTTTATATGTAAAGGCTATTTAGTTAAATTTTTATAAAACCAAAATAAGTAAAATACAGTAGACTCTTTTGAGGTATTATAAAGTTATAAATATCATTTAAATTTTAAAATTTAACAAAACTCTCTTCGTATTTTTTAAAAAATACTATATATATTTTCTTTATACTTAAAATCTACTTATTGTCATAGAGAAAAATTTAAACCCATAAATAATATTTTAGATATAAAAATATTTTTATCTTTATATATTTTTTTTAATTGTTTGAATGAATAACCAAATATGTCTTCATCTTTTTTTCATTTTTTGAAATTTTATGGGCTGTGGTATTTTTAATTTTTTTTAAAACAACAAATGTAGAAGGATTAACTTTAGATGAAAAGAAAAACAGAGAGAGGGACATGATAAAGATATTAGAAAAATTGTCCTTAAGCTCTTTTATTTGATGGAAGGGTAGTTTCAGATTAACTGATTATTGACCTCATCAAGATTTGAACCTAAAAAATAAAGGAATAAAATAAATTTCCTTAAAACCTTAATCATTTGGTCAGTTCCTAACCAAATTATGGATTAGTTAAGTTTCGTTATTATAATTTTATGCTTGCAAGTAGTTCACGGACATGCGGGTGATTTGAGCTTTTTCATATGTGATTTTGTAAAGAGTAGATTAGTATAAATAAAAGCTATTTATATTCAATGAATATGTAAACTTTTTCATTATGAGAGCAAAACTTTTTTATTCATGATCCTAGAAATTTTTAATATCATAATATAACATTAGAATAAATCTTTTTATTTAAAAGATTTATTTTTAAATTTTTGTGATTTGAATAGAAATGGTACATATATGAATAAAAAATTTTTGTAATCAGCAAAAATTGTTTAAATGAAGGGCTAATGATTGCAGAAATCCTTCTACTCTTTCTTTTGTAGTTATTGTGTCTCTTTACTTTTTTTCGTCTTGGGTTCATTTCTCCATGTTTAGTTTCTGTCTTAATCTGTCCTTTGTTAATTTTTAGACTAACAATGTTTACTTTTTTACTCTATTTTTTCAATCTTAATCATATTTTGTTTACTCAATTTTAATAATTAAATTTTGAAGGAAAAAAATAGATAAAAGCTAACAACATATGGGGTCGTTCTCTCTAAAAATTGAAAAAAATAAAATATTTTTTAATCTAAAATATTTTTTTATAGGTTTAAATTTGTCTCCGTGATAATAAGCAAATTTTGAGTATAAAATAAAATATTTATAGTATTTTTTTAATGTGTCTATGATAGTAAACAAATTTTAAGTATTTTTTTTTATATGCAAAGACTCGTTTAGTTAAATTTTTATAAAACCAAAATAAGTAAAATATAGTAGACTCTTTTGAGGTATTATAAAATTACAAATATCATTCACTTCAATTTATTTTGTACTCAAAAGCGAAAAGTACAAACTTAGCGATCGGTGATGAAGTTTACTTGGCACTTACTTTAATAGAATATATATAATATTTTTTAAAATTTAAGTTTGAACTTATATATCCGATTATATTATTTTTATTATTTTAAATTTATTTCTTCAATATTTTGTTTCTTATTAAAATTCTCATCGAATTAATTTTTAAAATTTATATGATTTTATTTGTTAATAAATTTGATTGTTTTATACATGGCTTTTGAAATAAAATTTTAGAATCCGATTATTTTATTTTTTAAAAACATATTATTATAATTTATATGATTGATTATTTTTATAATTTTTCAAAGAAAATGATGAAATTTTGATGAGAAAGAGAGAGCTAGAAGTGTATTTCAAATATTATAATTATTCCGAGAAAACTAAAAGACCAAGGGTTTTCCTTGTTCATTTACTATAGTATTTTATTTATTTATTTTAGTGTCGGCTCGGAGAAGAGGGCTCTAGTAGCTGGCTCGGCTCATTTCACTCGTAGTTTTTTTTTCCCCAAGGCTGGCCCGGAGAAGCATTTCTTTTTTTCCTTTTTTTTTTTTTTTTTTATAGGGTTGGTATTGAGAAGCGGCTTAAGTAGGCATGCACAAGCGAGTCCCAATCAACTTTTGCCTTCTTTTTTTCTTCTAATAATTTATTTTTATATTTTTTTTATCATGAAATTAGGTGTGAAAATATAAAAAAAGATCGTTATTTGTTTTTATTTTTACGTACAGTTTTACGATAATAGAATATATATAATATTTTTAAAAATTTTATTTTAAACATATATATCCGATTATATTATTTTTATTGTTTAAAATTTATTTTTTTAATTATTTTTTAATTATTAAAATTCACATCGAATTAATTTTTTTATTTTATATAGTTTTATTTGTTAATAAATTTGATTTTTTATGTATGGATTTTGAAATAAAATTTTAGAACTTGATTTTTTTATTTTTTAAAATATATTATTATAATTTATATGATTGATTCAACAAGTGTTGTACAAGTTAAGCGATAATATATAATTCGTTCATTCACTCGGGAAAGAAAACATATATATTATTGGTCCATTCAATGTCCTTGAACCAATATTAATTTATTTCTTCAATTATTTGTTTCTTATTAAAATTCTCATTAAATTAATTTTTAATTTTTTTGATATTATTTTATTTGTTAGTAAGTTTGATTTTTTAATACATAAATTATGAAATAAAATTTTAGAACGTTAATGTTTTATTTTTAAATTAAATTATTATAATTTATGCAATAAATTATTTTATATTTTTAAATGAGTGTTTTATTTTTTAATATATATATATATATATATATATAGAGAGAGAGAGAGAGAGAGAGAGAGAGAGAGAGAGAGAGAGAGAGAGCTAAAAGTATGTTTTAAATAGTTTGACTCGATTTTAAAAAAATAATAATGAGTTAAAAAAATTCAAAAGTGTTATTTGCTTTTTTTATATATTTATTTAGAAGTTATCGGAATCCATTTTTTTTGTAGTTTTTATTTTAATCTATCGGCTTCAACATATTTCTACGGTTTATGTGGGTTTTTTTTTGGTATATTTTTATATTTATTTTATATACTCTAAATCACACACACACACACACACACACACACACACACACACTATATATATATATATATATATCACTAAAAATATTTTTTTTTACTTGCATTACACCATACGAATCATTAACTCTACGTATATAATGATTGTTTATCCGCAAGCATAAGCGCGAGTATCCAACTAGTATACTCGAATCTACTTATGATGATCTTAATTTATGAGAACCAATTTTGTAGTAGTTTTTATTTCAATTTATTGATTTTAAAATATTCCATACAACCTAGATGGTTTTTTTTAAAAAATTATTTATACTATATACTCGAATCTAATTAGGGATGATATATAGTTTTGTTGGAAATTAATTATGTACTTACATACATAATACCATTAGTTCCTTTAATTCAAAGAATAAAAATTTTTCCTTTTTTGCTCTATCAATGGTTCTATTTTTTTTTTTAATAAATAGAGAAAGAATAAAAAGATAAGTAAAAACATGAAAACACACACACACACACACACACACGTAATTAGTTTTGTTATAAATTAATAATGTATCCGCATACATAATACCGATTATTTATAATTTATTTTTTTTATATTCTAAAATTAATATTTTTAAATAAAACAATTGAAAGATATAAATCATTAGTTTTGTTATAAATTAATTATGTATTTGCACACATAACCTCGGTTATTTGTTATTTATTCTTTTTTATGTTTTAAAATTAATTTACATTAATTATGAAAAATAAGATTTTTATCCACACTACACCATATAAATCATTGATCTTACATATAAGATTATCCGACCACAAGCATAGCGCGAGTAGATAACTCGTGGAATCTAATTCGAGAAGCATCATTCAACGTAAAAAAAAAAAAAAAAAACCTCAATTTAATGTAACATTCTCTATTAGTTCATATTTCCTCCATCTTACCTTATTTCTCCATATATTTTTGAAAAAAAATGTTTGTTTACTTTTTAAGTGAAGCATATGAAAAAAAATTGATTTTCCAACCTCATCCTCAATTATTTAATTAATTATACGATAAATGGAGGAATCTATAAATACTATCATTGATAGTAATGGTGCAATGCTTCTTAACTCACATAAAACTAAAATCTATCCTGGTAATCACTAGTTGATTAGTAAGGCTCCATTTAAAGGATGTTTGGAATTTGTTGAATTGAATTGAATTGAATTTAGAGATTTTAATGAAATCTCATGTTTGGAACCATTTTATGAAAAATTAAACTCTAAAAATGATACAAAAGTAAATTAGAGGCCTTGCTGAAGTAAAGAGGAGAAATTAATGTTAAAAATTAGCTTTTCCAAAATACCCATTTATCTTTTTTTTTTTTTTCCCTCCACTCTTTTCTCTCTAGTCAATAATAAGCATACACAACGACAATAATAATAATAATAAACAATAAACATATAGCGCTATTAAAACTTTAATTAAATTATCAAAACATTTTTCTCCCATCTCAACTTATATCATTTATCCTTCCTTAATTCTATAGCTAGTGTAGCCTTGAGAAAATAAGGTTTAGGGACATGTATTTAGATTTAATTTTTTGGGTTATTGGTGGTAACGGTGACAGAAGAGAATTAAAGAAAGAGAGAGGGATTGTAGTATTTGAAGGAAGTGAGTATTGAAAAATCTTTGAAAGAATAAGATAAAAAAAGCGAGAGTGAAATAGAAAATAAAATGAATTGTATAAACATATTAATTCAATTCATTTATCAATTAAATTCTATTTGAGTATTATTATTGAATTCGTTTCCACACCCCATGCTAATTACCCTACCCGCTTAAAACCTTATTGGGCCTGGCCATAATCTAACAAAGCTGACCTTCGAAAATCCTGCGCAGATAATAATGCTGTGATTCGGGCGTGGGGGAGAAGCGAGTGGAGAAGAAGTTGAGGAATCATTTTGACCTTGTTGAACTTCTGGGAATTGCGCACTTGAAGAAAGGTATGTGGGCATTCCATATTGCTGCCTCTCTTTAAATTGACTGACACATGCAAAATTGTGTCCAAGATGACCGTAATTTTAGGATTTGGATTGGATGACGTATGGACTATAATTTATATTACTTAATCTCTTGTGACAAGGGTTTTATGTCATCCATGAGGGTTTAGTTATTGGGGATTTTTGTGTATGGTGTTGGTCAAATGTGTTAGATTTATAGATGTTTGGTATGATTATTATAAGCCCCTGAGCCTAATCAATGGAGCTTGATGATCTTAACTTATTGTTGTCTAAACCTTGTGGCTCCATCATTGCTCACTGGTTTATGAAGCTGGGCTTTTGACCTTGAGGGACTCCCAGTGTAGATTAATCAGTCCTGATGTTTCATTTTCATAATGAACCATCAAAATCGCATTTCCCTTTTTGTCTATAGCCTGTAAAAAGAGTAGTTCGGAATGTCTTGACGCTTTGGCATGTGAAGTTTAAGTTAATATGGATGTTCTGGAAATGATTAGGTGCTGATGTAGCGGGAGGTAGAGGCTTCTACCTCAAAGTTGATGGTGTCCGACTTAATCAAGCATTGATCAACTTTGGCCTGGAATTCTTGGAGAAAAGAGGGTACACGGCCTTGCAGACACCCTTTTTTATGAGAAAAGATGCCATGGCAAAGTGTGCCCAGTTAGCACAATTTGATGAAGAGCTTTACAAGGTGAGTTGTAGAAAGTACTAGGGCATAAACATATTCTCTGAAAGTCTACATTTTGAACGTCTCAAATATACGAACAAAAGCAGGAAAGGAACCTTTGAGTAACTGCTGCAATTCTCTCCATCACACCTTGTAGTTGATGTCCAGATTATGAGATACTTTACTTCACTTCTTAATAAATTAGCCTCTCTCCTGGTTACCTTTAGGTTTTGGTTCTGTAGATTTTCTGTTGGGATCATATAGGTACTTTAATTGTATGAGTGGTATTACCCAAATATCTGCTTTCATGCCTATTATTTGCAAGATCATCTAACACATTCTTCTATTAGGATTGGAGGGTCAATTCCTCGTTAATGACTGTCATTGGTCTGATTGTGATGCATTTGCATTATTAAACTAGTTGTTGGTTACCATTTGCATTTAGATTTTGCTTAATATGAGAATGCCACAATGAGTTTATGAGTGATCCACGGTGTTAACGTTCTAAGCCTGCAGGTTAGATGTGCTGAATTCTTATACTTTGTGCTAGTAGCACTTAATTATATTAAATTTCATTATTCTCTTGTATTTTATTATTATTATTGTTTTATTTTATTTTTTGCTGCAGTCTAGTGTGGTTCTGTTTTTTTGGGTATGCATTGGTGCCCTGTCTTTCTTCTTTGGGTTGTTGAAGTTGTAGCATGCTTAATTTGCTAAATGAAACCTTGTTTTCCCCCTTCTACTTTCTTACTCACTCCACCCTCCCAGTCTTCCGTAACACGTAAAAAATAAAGATAAAAGGAGGAAAAGAAGATCAAAACTCTTATTCAAGCTACCCTGACAAATCTGGAAAAAGCCACACAATTCATTAAACACTTGGCAAATGCTGTAGCAATCATGCTTCATCTCCACTGATCTACATCTGCATCTCCATGGGATATAAAGCAAAGAAGAATATAGAGAGAACAATTTGATAGAAGTCCACTAGCATTCAAAGCTAAACTAAACATTGCCCATGACACTCTCTAGGTTTTCCGAAGTAAAGCAATATAATCTATGTATCGTCTCACTGAGTTCAAGGGGAGATTAGGATTTGAGCTTTGATGAATAAAAGAGGAATCGGTAGAAATTCGCATAGCTGAAGCAAATCAAACCCATTTTCGTTTAAATACGACTAAGAAAAACAAGGACAAAACTATAGTAGATTGGAAAACCCAGGAGATTCTATGGAAAATAGAAAACATCGAATTAAGCTGGGGCCTAAAAATAGAAACACATATATCAACACCCTAACCTTGTTAAGTTGATTGGTTACTGCTTAGAGGATGACCATCACATGCTGGTTTACGAGTTCATGACCCGGAGCAGAATGAAGAATCATTTATTCTGGAGTGAGTTACTTATGCTCTTTCCTATTAACTGCCACTTTTGGTGTCTCTATTTTGTGAAGAGCAGGAAATCCCATACCAACTGCACCTTATTTGTAATGTTATTGAAGTATTGAATAAATTGAAAAACAGGAGGGTCTCACTTCCAACCACTTTCTTGGAACATTCGAATGAAAGTTGCACTTAATTGGTGCTGCAAAGGGGCTTGCCTTTCTTCACAGTGCTGAAGCAAAAGTCATATATCGTCATTGAGACTTCTAACTTCCTTCTTGATTTGGTAGGTACCTCGCTACCATTTTCTTATCATTTCTCCTTTTTCTTTCTTATCACTTTTTTTTTTAATGGTAATATGGCTGTATATGTTGAGATTTAGCTTCAGACTCTCATAACTTGAACTGCTTCTTCTGCTCTATATTTTTAAGGCTACAATGCAAAGCTTTCTGATTTTGGTTTAGCTAGGGATGGGCCAACTGGCATTAAGAGTCATGTATCTACTAGCTGGGGTCATGGATGAGGTGGTAATGGCATGAGAGTAGCTGCAAGAAACTGTGAAGGTTGTGCCAAAAATTACTCAAAAAGAGAGCAGTTTAAAAGTTCATAGGGGTTCCAACTACAGACGGATTGCTAATCCTACGCCACTTCATGCGTAAGAGAGAAATTTTTTGACTTGTTAATATTCTTATTCAAGAAGCGTACAGATTTTGCATTGCCTTGTGTTGTTAATAAATATTTAAGTCTTCATTTCTTTTTCCTGCATTGTCTGTTGGCAGTTGAAAGTCATAATCACGAAATACACATTAATTTAGATATTGATGACACGACTCTTGGAAGTCAGAACACGTAACATGCATTAATCATCTTAATAAATACATCAATTTTAAATTTTTCTCAATTAAATATATTAATTTTTATTTTTTAATATATTAATTTTTTAAAATATCAATTAACTTTTTTTCGTCCGATGCGATGATTTAACGAGTTAATAAAATAGCTATATTATCTTTTTTTTAAAATTATTATTATTATTTAATTATAATTAAAAAAGAAAAAACAAATCAAGTAACATGTATGCTTGTCAACTATTATGTTTTTTTAATTAATAATTAAACAATAATAATAATTTAAGAAGAGAAAAAAACAATACAGTAATTTAATTTTTTTGTTAATTAATATACAGAAAAAAACAATACACTATACACGGAAAATTGAACAAAAAAAAATTATTTGATATTGTCAAAAAAATTAATATAAAAAACAAAAAATAAAAATTGATATACATTATTGAAAAAAAAAATATATAATATATTTAATCTATCAAACAGTCTCATCACCCCCATATCTTTCAAGTCCCCATTTTTGCATTGTATTAAATTTCTTTCTCCATGTCTTCTCAATCAATCACAAGATCTTCAAAGATTGTAAATTTCTTTCTCCAAGCATTGTATTACGAGGAAACAGTATTTTGTACCTTTCAAAGATTAATTAATTAATTAATTAATTTCTCAAAAATCGGGGACTAATTTATAATTTTCTCCCGTCTTGTCTTCTATTTAAATTGGTCTAGGGCGACTTTCTGTTTACCCTAAAAGAGCCTCCCTGCCGTTGCTTATTGAACTCTCTTTCGAAACAATAACTGTCTCCGTTTCTCAATGGCACCAAAACGCCCCGCTCCCGTTGAAAATCCACCTTCTGCTTCTAGCTCTGAAGAAAAAGAGGAAGAAACTTCCAGTAGTGAAGAAGTAGAGGTATCTGATGATGAACAAAGTCCATCCTCTCCTCCTCAACCTCAATCCAAAACCCCTCGAATCCAAAAGCCAACCCCCAAAAAATCGAAACCTACCACCCAAAAATCTGAATCGGCTGCGGCTGCCACTCAAAAGAAATCAGCAGCCGGGAAGAGGGGTAAAGGAGCCGATCGCGAACCTGACAAGTCCGGGGATTCTACAAAGAAGTTGTTTCAAAGGTTGTGGACGGAGGACGATGAGATCGCTCTGCTGTTAGGTATAATTGACTTTAGAGCAGAGAAAGGTTATACTCCATCAAATGATATGAAAGCGTTTTTTAATTTTATTAAGAACTCTTTACATTTTGATGTGTCTATAACTCAAGTGAAGGACAAGATATGGAGGTCAAAGAAAAAATTTGAGAATCAGGTGAAAGGGAAAAGAGGGGAAAATAAGACTTTTAGCAAACCACATGATCAAACGTGGTTTGATTTGTCGAAAAAGATCTGGGGCAGTGATGGAATTAGCCAAGCTAATGAGAAGAGAAGTGAGGTGTTGGAGGTTGGGTTGGATGAGAGAGATTTTTCAGAGTTATGTAGCAATGTGGATGATTATGTTAGGAGGCGTGGATTGAACTTCCTTTCTGGAACGAAGAAGGCGGAGATGAAGGAGAAGTGGAGGAAGGTCCGGGAAGCTGAATTGGAGTTATACTTGAAGAGGGGAAAGTTGCTGCTAGAGCAAGCAGAGGTGATGCTGTCAGCTTTTAAAGCTGAGTCAGCGGACCAGGATTAGCAAATTTTTAAGGTTAAACTAACTCTCATTTTATAACGTTATGCTTAATTTCTCATTTGGTAGATATTTTGTCATTTATTTCTTATTTCGTAGTTATTTTGTGTTTGATTAGTGGATTTCTTATAATTTTTGGAATCTTATTCATAGCTGCCCTTAACAGCATTTACGCCTTTCTTTATAGTTATAACTTGTGCTATCGGAAACTGTTTGGGAGAAGGACGTTCCATTTCATAACTAGCTAGAGGGACTGGACAAGAAACTGGGCTTTATTGCAGACGGGGATGTATTATCTATGATATATTATCCTCAGGTTTGCTTCATTGTATTTCTGCTATTAGGTGTCTTATTGAATTCTATCTGCGGCATTGAGAGTTGTTGAATAGGGCCAATATAATTGAGATTGTTCTGATAGAAAAATAGAGCATAAGAGAATGAACTTAAAGATGAAAAAAAAGAGGAGCATGATAAAAATAAAATAAAGAGTAGGACATCTACAAAGACTACAATCATTAACCCTTTAAATAAATGATACAAATTTTGTGGATCATCTTGTTTGAAGAAGTAAAAAGTAATATCCACTAGTGTTATTTTCTTCAATTTTTCATAACAAGAATTGCGATAAGCATTATTTTATAGTTATTTAGAGGCAAAGTTGTTATAGTTATTTAGAAGCACGCTTGCTTGACCTATTAATTATGGTGTGCTTCAATTATTATTGTTGTTGATTGCTAATTTCTTAATTAAATTATCACTATCGTTATCATTAACTTGAGGCCTTAGGCCTGCTTGTTTCATCCCTTCTTCTCCAAAAATTAAAAAAAATGTTATCATTTTGCTTTTTTGAATCTTTAATAATGTTGGGGAATTTAATTAATATAATGTTGGGGAATTACCACTATCTCTTGCGTTTCAATTATGAATGAGATTTTGAATCTTTAATAATGTCTGGAAATTTTGTGTATTTTAATAATTTGATGAAATTAGATGTAATTTTATTATTTTTAGACTTGATAGATAAAATAAAATGCTAATAATGATATAAACCTATTTTTTATGTTTTAATAATTTTGTCGTACATAAGCTTTTTAAATCTGACAATTTTTCCAAAAGAGAGATAGAATCAATCTCACAGCTTCCTCTCAACTTTTAACTAGTAGGTCACTATGCTAGCTGCTGCCACTACTACTGTCTTTGCCATCATCGCCAATGTCGCCGCCGTTTTGGCTGCTGCTTCCTGATGATACTGCCGTTTTGGCTATCATAACCGATAACGTCAATCTCATGGTGGGTTGACCAAGAACAATATTGATGTGCTGTTTCTGTTGCTCGAGGCCAATAATGGGGAGAGGCTCCGTCTGTTGCCTCCCCGAGGAGGAGAAAAACAACTGGCAGATAGTGGTCTATCTTCGCATGGGAACTTTGAGTTCTTGAAGTGCTCCTTCAACGCTTCCAACCCCAACCCCAAAATCTGACATATCTCTGCAGCGTGCTTTACGGGCGTGGGTTTTATACGTTTTGATTCCTCTTTAAGTCCTGGCATTAATTGCATTTGATAAAACAGAAAACGACTCGACTCTCTTCTCGTTTCTTGAAATGACTTTCTGTCAAATGCGTTTCATTACTCAAACAATTAAACATTAATTGCTCTTGTTTGGGGTCAATTAATGTTTCACACTGAAGCTTTGAGGTCAATTCATGCCAAATCTCCAGTGCAGGCACATTCAGCAAATCCTCTCTTTCGCGCACATCTTTATTAATGGTAAGAACTCCTAACTCTGCAAGCTGTTCATTTCTAGAGATCACAAACATTGCTATGTAGAATATATATATATATATAACGGAGAAAGGAAAAGGGTTAAACATAGCCTGATTTGCATGGGGTGTTCACTATAAGTGATTTTGTTACATACATGACTAAGAGCGAGTGATGTAGCAACTTTGTCCATGCAAGTCTTCGAAGCTGCTACACCAGGACCTTTAGTTGAAAATAAAAGGGGAATGAACAATCTAGTACCAAGACAACTAAATTCTTCAGGTGCCAAAGTGTCAACTAGAATAACCTGTATGAAGAACTCCTTCAGACTCCAATAAAGACTGAAGTGTACCATCTTCACCGATGCCTCCATGGACTGTAGAAAACATCAGACAAATTTCATATAGAAAATAGTTGCTTTTTAAAAAAAGAAAAAAGAAAAAGGGAGACTAAATAAAAGCACCATCCTTCAACATAGTGTTTGCATTCATTTATAAGAATATGATCAGCAACCAATAAAATCTACCAAGTGTGAAAAGTTATGGCTTAACAAACATGATGTTTGACGACCTACCTTGTTTGTGTGTGTATGTTCCGATATTATCCAACATGACAAGAACAATATCTGAAGTAAGCTCTTGTTTATATTCTTGAATAAACAAATGTCTTAAAACTGTCTACAACACACACTCATAGATCAAATATGAATTATTCTGCTCATGCTAACAGTGGAAAGAAAAGTTAATGCAAGCATCAATCATAACAAAATACATCGTTAAGGAAATAGAACCTGCAATGAAAACTGTTGCCTGAACTTCCTTGGCAAGCTTGATCCACTTCTCTAATGAATATCTAACAGGCGTTTCATCAGCTATGTCAAACCCTGTAAACCAACTATGCTTCATTAGACCTTCCGTGAGGTCATTCATCACTTGGTTGCGCAAATGAGAAGTAAGAGCTGCCCTAGCTGGTTCAATTGCTTCTATGCAGGCATCAAGAACTTCCTCTGTAGTGTCTCAGAACAATAGAGTAACTGCATTCAAATTCCCAGAGCATGATACAACATACATGAAAATCAAAAACATCAAAACATGATTCTGACTGCCAAAAAAGATTTATAGAAAACCAATAAATGGATGGTGGATTATTCGACTTTTCAAAAGGAAAATGTATAACAGAGTTGAACACGAACAAAAGGCTGTACTTACGGTAATGACCAAACCACTCTGGAACTATCATCAGAATGGTCATTTGAGGGGGCAAGCAAACAAGGAGTTACATCAAGCTGTAGACAACAAATTGCCAATATCAGACATTATTCATAACCATAATTCACCTCAATTAAAAGTAAAACATCTGAATTAATCATTGAATCACAAAATTGGTGGCTTGGATGAGTAAAAAGACAGGCATGGTGGCTAGAATCAATGCAATGCTGAGCATTGGTCCAGGTCCAGGGCACACACATGAGAACTTTTGGACACTTTGATTCCAAAATCAAATGATAAACTTAATTGCATCAGTATCTAATACTGCATCATCCGTGTATAATAGAAATCCAGTTATATCCTTCATCAAACACACTGGCGAACTGTTATGCAAGCTACACAATTTACAGCTAATGTTTCCTAAACTTACATCATCAAATGCCTGCAAGTTAAGCCAAACATTTGTTCCACTCATAAGAGAGACTTGCCGCTCTGATGTGTCTCCTCCAAATAAGACAAAAAAATTTTGAATGCCTTCCCTTTTGTTGAATGCTTCATCGAACTGCAAGGATTTCGATCTTCTTGGCAAATGAACTGATACTTCATTGTGTGACGCGAGAGTGGAGAACCGCAAGCAAGCTTGATGAATAACACTTCGAAGAATGTCAGAATGAGAGAATCCAACCTGGACAAGAAGGGAACCTTTTGAGGACACAAGTGGCTTAGAAAAGAATGAGTGATGGAAAAAAAAAAAGCATCATCCACTAAGTGGACAAGCAAGTAATTTCACCTAAAAAAATGTCAGAAGCTACATTTTATTGAGAGATATAATCACTCTTTACGACTCACCTAAGAGAAAAACAGCCAGTCAAATGCGAAGTCCTACAGTGGCGTTGGACCCATCAGACAAGTAATGCGAAGTCCTACAGTGCATGCAGAAGAATGTTGCAAGATAGAGAGGAGAAAAAAAAAAAGGAAAACATTGAGGAACAGAGTCTCTAGAAATTAATCAAATAAACAAATATTACATTAGAAAGCCCACATGCCCAACTACCAAACTATTACAAGAGAGATACAATGTAATCCTATCTCCTACGTTTATTCTCCATAAAACTTTCTTCCAAGCCTCCATAACAAGGTGCACCTCTCTATAGAGCAAAACGATCAGAACCAATAGGTATACCCTCCTTTCTTTTCTGGATATTGGGCAGAAGGGGAAGCCACCGTACACGCAGGAACCTCATCAGCTTCTCTCCCCAACTGTGTAACAGAAACAGAAGTAGCCACCGCCATTGTCGAAGCCCTATACAGTCTAAAAATAGCTTCATCCTCCAAGATAACCATTAGAGGCACAACCCCCTGAGTGTTAGTACTTTACCTCCCCACTAACGATAGATCAATCTTCTTAAGGGACACAAAAATGCTCCCCACCTTCCCAACTCCAAAAGCCACCTTGCCCCTCTTGACCAACCATTTGGCCTTGTCTCCAACCTCCCACAAAATTTTATGCAGATGATAGGAAAAACTTGTCTGTTAAAAAAGGAGATTGTTCTAGGTGAAGTTGTGGTTGCTTATGGGCTCATGTCCAAGGTTTTGGGTTCCAAGCCTCACTGCTTAAGGCAAGCCCTCCTGGTAAATGTAGGCCTATATATGGAGGAGGTTTTCTATAGATTATAGGAAAAACATATGGAGGCCACAAAAAAATGAGCATATTGCTATAATTCAATAATGCAATCAGGGGGCGAAATACAAGTTAAACTCTTTTTTTTTTTTTTTTCTTTTAATACAGGAAATACAAGCGGAACATTTTTCAGGCAAGAAATATAAGTGACAATTTAAAGAGAAGAATAATATGTAATAGCCCCCCTGTTTCTTTTCTTCTCTCTAAAATGTTGGGATACATAATCAAAGGGTGGGTGGGAGGGAGAATTTAGCGATTTCTTAATTTAACAGTTTCAAATCACTGCCCCAAGCAACATACAATGATACAGGGTTTTTCCAAAACTTGAAGCTAATTGAGCACAACAAAACTCTATATGATCCTCTCTGATGCCAAATCAAGCAACGTGCGGAAGAATTTTTTAGGATACATGGGAGGTTGTTCTGCTAGCGCCTGAGAAACACAGCAAATTCTAGCACGTTAGGGCTAATGAAACAGTAGGGCTTTGACAGGCAAGTAAATAGGTGCTTCTTGAGATGAACTAAGATGGTCTCACCTGACATCAGTAGTTTCAGTACATGATCTCATTTTTACTTTTCCTTGTATTATTTCACAGAAGATTGTTGTATTTTTTACTATATGATTTTATCTCTGTGAATCTATTTCTATGTTGATATTTCATGCAGAATTCTGTTTATTTTATTTTGTTTTGTTTTATTTTTTTTTTCAGATAAATGCAAATTTCTGTTTAATATATGCAGTGTTACAGAAAGAGACAAGTCATTTGTTACTAAATTCCCAAAACACATCTAATTGCTACCTGATGAATAAGGACGGTGGAAGGAGTCATTCCAGGAACAGTATTGACCTCTATAATCAGCACCTGCAAGTAATGACATGGGTGGAAAATAAATATCACCAAAGAGAGCTGTTCTAAGCAAACCAAGAGAACGGAATAAAGCTTAATTATTATCTTGTGTTAATTCAGCTAAAGGCAAATAGAGGCATCGCAAATGGTATCATGGAACTGGCATACCTCTCCACTATCAACATTAACAAAAGCATCTATTCGGGAAAATCCTTCCAATTGCAGTGTGTTTGCAATCAATTCGATACGTTGTTTACACCTCTCTAATGCCTCGTTACTGATTCAAGAGGAAAAATCATTCATTTAGTCAAACTACAATCCAAAGACGAATGAACAATCAATAAGAGATATGATGAAGAAAGAGAGCACTTGCTTGCTCTGAATGTCATTGCATTCATCCATTACATTTTCATGCAGCATAGTCATTTTCTAAAAGATGGTCAGAATGATCATGGGAATTGGACGTGATGTTATTTCAGAATAGATATCAGTTCGATATGTTTTAATCATGGCAGCATCCTTTTAATTTCAAAAGGGCATGAAGCAACACTGTTTTAGAGGAAGATAGAAGTTGCATGGTGGAAACAATTTAACATAAATGACCATTTCACAGTAGCAGTTAACCAACCTTACAATTGATGTCGGCGGAGGGGTAAGATTGATGCCAGTTCCACCTGTCAAGTAATATCAATGTCAAGATACCAATAATACGATATAGAAAAATATAGAATTTCTTCCAATAAATCATTCAAAAATTCACAACTTAATTCCCTCAAATTAAGCATTAAAAAAAAAAAAACTTCAACTGCTGTCACTAAATCATCCTTTTTGCTTGATTTATTTTAATCCTATCTAATGACTCAAGTGTTCTAATGCTTAAACAACAAGGTGCAGGACTACTAAATCAACTTTAATGCAACAATTGGTTAGCTATCATGATTTGCAAGCACCAAGAACAAAAGAGATATCATCAAATGCCAACATAATCGAAACAAATTGCAACAAGCAAACACGTACCTTGAAATTTCTCTTCAAGTGATAAAATGCCACCAGTTTCTTTAACAGTAACACTAGGGCTCAATGAGTGCATTGCTCCATAAGTTCCTATAACACCAACTGTTATTTCCACCCATTGACTGTTTCCTTCCCACATGAGGCCTTGTGCTTGTTCACCCACAGATTTGGATGAGACAACAATCTCATCAGTCTCAATAAAAGGTTCAAAGATCAAGCGCTCTGGAGGAGGACTTGGCATCTCAATCATTCCATGTGACTGAACATTACACAAAAAGAAAGATTTTTGAGTGTTGTCAGATGAAAACCCAGATGTTTCAATTATAAATAATGGCTATGCAAGAAAGTTATGGAAACATCAAAATTTTGTTGCCAACAAAGCATGGACCAATGAGTTATAAAATCACAATCGTTTATTTGTTTGATAAATGACAATGGGTTCACTGAGAATTTATTAGACAACTTAAAAGTCAAACAGCAGCTGACTAGTTATTTTCACTTGAAATTTAATAAAAGCTGACCTCTTTAGGTTTTAAGAAGAAAAACTTTCATGCTTATCAGAAGAAGAACAAAAGATGCAAAACATGAATAAACTTATCAGATGCACCCAGGGACCACCATCCATGCACATGTTAAATGGGCATCAAGCTCATGCTCTTATTGCAGAGAGTACCCAAACAATTAATTACACAGCTGAATCTAAAATAATTTCTGATTTTCATAATTGGTGCAAAGCAACCTATCATTTATAACAGTTCATCAAACACAAACATGCTCATTAGCAATAATCACCTTAAAATAGTTTCAAAGATAAGATATCTGTAGTTCTCCAAAAAAAAATTGAGAGAAAAAGAAAAAAAGAGACATCTGGGATAGCGCTCAACTGTGATGCCCTGAAACAAAAATATAGACAAGCTTCCCTACCTTTGAGAAACTATCGGGTGGTATCTGCAGAAGGCAATCCTTCAAAGCTTTTACATACACTACGAGGTCCTCCATACAGCTACATGTACAAAAGAGAAGTGCCAAATGATTAATTTAAATACACACAAAATATTTAACTGGGTTTAGGGATGTATGATATCAGCTCAATAAAGATTATTAGCAAATGGATATAACAAGTGATATAAACCAACCATAATCTTGCAACCCCAGTCGAGCATCCATCCCTTGCTGGTTTAACACATAATGTTTCACACTGAAGCTTTGAGGTCAATTCATGCCAAATCTCCAGTGCAGGCACATTCAACAAATCCTCTCTTTCGCGCACATCTTTATTAATGGTAAGAACTCCTAACTCTGCAAGCTGTTCATTTCTAGAGATCACAAACATTGCTATGTAGAATATATATATAACGGAGAAAGGAAAAGGGTTAAACATAGCCTGATTTGCATGGGGTGTTCCCTATAAGTGATTTTGTTACATACATGACTAAGAGCGAGTGATGTCGCAACTTTGTCCATGCAAGTCTTCGAAGCTGCTACACCAGGACCTTTAGTTGAAAATAAGAGGGGAATGAACAATCTAGTACCAAGACAACTAAATTCTTCAGGTGCCAAAGTGTCAACTAGAATAACCTGTATGAAGAACTCCTTCAGACTCCAATAAAGACTGAAGTGTACCATCTTCACCGATGCCTCCATGGACTGTAGAAAAAATCAGACAAATTTCATTTAGAAAATAATAGCTTTTTTTTTTTAAAAAAAAAGGGAGACTAAATAAAAGCACCATCCTTCAACATAGTGTTTGCATTCATTTATAAGAATATGATCAGCAACCAATAAAATCTACCAAGTGTGAAAAGTTATGGCTTAACAAACATGATGTTTGATGACCTACCTTGTTTGTGTGTGTGAGTATGTTCCGATATTAGCCAACATGAAAACAACAATGTCTGAAGTAAGCTCTTATTATATTCTTGAATAAACAAATATCTTAAAACTGTCTACAAAACACTCTCATAGATCAAATATGCATCATTCTGTTCATGCTAACAGTGGAAAGAAACGTTAATGCAAGCATCAATCATAACAAAATACATCGTTAAAAAAATAGAACCTGCAATGAAAACTGTTGCCTGAACTTCCTTGGCAAGCTTGACCCACTTCTCTAATGAATATCTAACAGGGGTTTCATCAGCTATGTCAAACCCTGTAAACCAACTATGCTTCATTAGACCTTCCGTGAGGTCATTCATCACTTGGTTGCGCAAATGCGAAGTCAGAGCTGCCCGAGCTGGTTCAATTGCTTCTATGCAGGCATCAAGAACTTCCTCTGTAGTGTGTCTCAGAACAATAGAGTAACTGCATTCAAATTCCCAGAGCATGATATAACATACATGAAAATCAAAAACATCAAAACATGATTCTGACTGCCAAAAAAGATTTATAGAAAACCAATAAATGGATGGTGGATTATTCGACTTTTCAAAAGGAAAATGTATAACAGAGTTGAACACGAACAAAAGTCTGTACTTACGGTAATGACCAAACCACTCTGGAACTATCATCAGAATGGTCATCTGAGGGGGCAAGCAAACAAGGAGTTACATCAAGCTGTAGACAACAAATTGCCAATATCAGACATTATTCATAACCATAATGCACCTCAATTAAAAGTAAAACATCTGAATTAATCATTGAATCACAAAATTGGTGGCTTGGATGAGTAAAAAGACAGGCATGGTGGCTAGAATCAATGCAATGCTAAGCATTGGTCCAGGGCGCACACATGAGAACTTTTGGACACTTTGATTCCAAAATCAAATGATAAACTTAGTTGCATCAGTATCTAATACTGCATCATCCGTGTATAATAGATATCCAGTTATATCCTTCATCAAACACACTGGCGAACTGTTATGCAAACTACACAATTTACAGCTAATGTTTCCTAAACTTACATCATCAAATGCCTGCAAGTTAAGCCAAACATTTGTTCCACTCATAAGAGAGACTTGCCGCTCTGATGTGTCTCCTCCAAATAAGACAAAAATTTTTTGAATACCTTCCCTTTTGTTGAATGCTTCATCTAACTGCAAGGATTTCGATCTTCTTGGCAAATGAACTGATACTTCATTGTGTGACGCGAGATTGGAGAACCGCAAGCAAGCACGATGAATAACACTTCGAAGAATGTTAGAATGAGAGAATCCAACCTGGACAAGAAGGGAACCTTTTGAGGACACAAGTGGCTTAGAAAAGAATGAGTGATGGAAAAAAAAAAAAAGCTAAAAAAATTATTAGATTCAAGAGCATATCAAGATTTTATGTGGCATATAAAGAATGACATGCCTCGCTTCATGTGCGATACACATCAGAAAATCTGTCAATTTTTCAGAAGCAATGACCATATAAAACAAAGACTAAAGCTTGAGCTATGCATGGTCTACACTTCAGTTGCTATGATAATGTTGCCATGGTATGTTTACTGTGGGAAATATGCCTCCAATTTAGGAGGAACAGAATCTTCCTAGTTAGGAAGAAATCAATCACTGTAATCACAGAAAATCAGGAGGAAATATGGCCCTAATTTCCTATTCTAATTTTCCTAACGCGTGGCTTCCTATTCTGGTGTATATGGCTACTATAAAAGGAACCTGCTGCTGCTGTATTTGGTGTGACAGAAATAAAGAGTTGAAACCTTTCTCTAGTGGATGTAGGTCTTCATGACCGAACCACGTTAAACTATTTGTTTTTTTCTTCTTATATTTTTGTTTTATGGTATCGAGCCAGAGTTATCCTCTAGCCAAAGAACCAAACCAACTCTAGCCAACCTTAGTTGAATAGATGGCAAGCTCCACCCCAACTACAGAGGAATCAATTAGGATCCCTACTGTTGTCAACCCACAAACCTCAATTTTACCCAATCCTACCGATAACTTCTCAATCCAAATCACCTCTCACAAACTAAATGGGAGTAATTTTAAGGAGTGGTATCAATCGGTTTTACTAGTGATCAAGGGCAGAGGGAAAATGGGATATCTAACCGGGGCAAAGAAGGTACCACCATTAGAGTCAGCTGATTATGGAGTTTGGGAGGTTGAAAATTCTATAGTCATGGCCCGGCTAATCAACTCTATGGACCAAAAACTCGGATGGCTGTATTTATTCTACCAAACAGCAAAGGAAATATGGGATTCGGTGAGAGATATGTATTCAGATTTAGAGAACATATTGCAAAGTTTTGAGGTTCGTTCCAAAATTCGAAATATTCGTTAAGGTACATCATCCGTTACTGAATATTTCAATAACATGTCAAAATTGTGACAAGAAATTGATATGTTTCACAATATATCTTGGAGATGTGCTGATGATGGGGTGCTCATATCAAAATGCTAGAAAAGGACTGAATTTTTGATTTTTTGCAAGGTTTAAATCAAGAACTAGATGATGTCGGAGGACGAATACTTGGTATAAAACCATTACCCTCATCAAAGGAGGTCTTTGCTGAAGTTCGGCGTGAAGAAACGAGTAAGGTGATGTCATTGCCACTGCCTTATACAACAGTAGAGGCAGCAGTGCAGGGATCAGCTTTGGTGATAAACCGAAGCGAGGAAAACAGTTCAAAGGGGGCTGATTTTGGGAAGGATAAGCAGGTATGGTGTGAGCATTGTAAAAGACCATATCACACTAAGGATACATGTTGGAGTCTCCATGGAAAACCTAAAGATTGGAAGCCGAGAAATCAGAGGAAGAAGGTTGCCTATTCAGCTGAAACAACGAGTAGATGCAAACCCTCAACCGTTTACAACTGAACAATTAGAAGTCCTCAAGAAATTGATGAAATCTAATACGGAATAATACAAATCTGCTCCCTCTAATTCCACTCGGTTCCTCAGCCCTAACAACTCACAAAGGTACAGTTCCTTTTTTATCATATAAGACAAAATATGATTCTTGGATAGTAGATACTAGGGCTTCGACCATATGACGAGTTCAAATGCAAGGATGAGCAATTATAAACCATGTAGAGAGAATTTTGGAGTTACGAAGTGACGGATGGAACTATATGTACAACAAAAGGGAAGGGAGACTTGGACATAAATGGGCTGAATTTAAAATCTGTGCTTTATGTTCCGGAATTAAAATGTAATTTATTGTCGATGGGTAAAATTACTAAGGACTCGAATTGCTCCGTGACATTTTCTCCCTCTCATTGTGAATTTCGGGATTTGTCATCGGGGAGGACGATTGGGAATGCTAAGAAGCGACATGGTCTCTATTATGTGACGAGTGTTGGACCCTCCTCAAGCTTTAGGTCATCTAGTGTTTTGTCCTCGTTTTCCAATTCGATGTTCGGTTATTGCACAATAGATTGGGTCATCCTAATTTTCATTATTTGAAACATTTATATCCCCATTTATTTTTCAATAAAAATCCTTCATGTTTTCAATGTGAACATTGTATCCTTGCCAAACAAACACGTGCATCCTATCCTCCCCATCCTTACAAACCTTCAAGACCATTCCATTTAATTCATAGTGATGTATGGGGACCATCATGGAAACAAAATTTTACAGGAGAACGATGGTTTGTTACTTTTATTGATGATCATACCCGTGTGTGCTTGGGTTTATGTAATGAAGAAAAAATCGAAGTAACAAGAATTTTCAAGCAATTTCATAAGCTTGTTACAAATGTCTTTCAATCATCCATTCTTATATTTCGAACGGACAATGCAAAAGAATATTACCCTAATGAACTAAATGACTATCTCCAAGAAAATGAGATTGTTCATCAAAGTTCATGTGTGTCTACCCCACAACAAAATGGAATTGCTGAAAGAAAAAATCATCATCTTTTAGAAGTTGCTAGATCCATCATGTTTGCACGTCGAGTTCCAAATCACTTTTGGGGGAAGCAGTCCTTACAACTGCATTCCTAATCAATCTTGTTCCTTCAAAAGTTCTCAAATACCAAACTCCCCTTAGTATTTTACTATCTCGTCTTCCCTACTTCACGGAGTTCATAATACTCTTCAACCTCGAGTTTTTGGGTGTAGTATTTGTTTATAACCTTCAACCTAATCGAGGCAAACTAGATCCGAAAGCCCTAAAATGTGTTTTCCTTGGTTATTCTCCCACTCAAAAGGGTTATAAATGTTAACATCCACCTACCAAACGTGTCTTTATTTCGTGATGTGACCTTTCTAGAGAATCAGCCTTTCTACTCCCAAGTTTATCTCCAAGGGGAGAATGATACTCAAGGAGATAAACATTGGGATCCCACCTTTCCGGTAATTTTTCCTTCAATTACACACCTAGTGGTTTCTATATCCGAGCCCAATGGAACCAATCAACGGGGAGAGTTGAATAATGTTTATCTAAAACCGATTCAAGTCTATTCTAGGAGACCACAAGCTCCAATGCAAACCCATGAGTCCGAACCAGTGGCGATTCTAGCAACAACAATGATGAAGAGGATGGGTCGAGTGGTGAACAACCTTATGATTTGGATCTTCCAATTGCTTTAAGGAAAAGGGTAAAAACCCGTACTAAAGCTCTTAAATATCCTATCTCAAATTATGTTGCATACTCTAAGCTTTCGGGAGATTTTAAGGCCTTCATTGCTCATATTGATGAAATACAAGTTCCTAAAAATATTGATGAGGCTCTTCGAAATCCTAATTGGAAAGAAGTCTGTGTTGGAAGAAATGAAGGCATTAACGAGACAATGATACTTGGGAAATGGTGCAACTACCGGAAGGGAAGAAAGCGATCGGAAGTAAGTAGGTTTTTACGAGTAAAATATAAACTCGATGGAAAAGTGGATCGGTTGAAGGCAAGACTCGTAGCACAAAGCTTCACTCGGACCTATGGAATTGATTATGAAGAAACTTTTGCACCGGTTGCCAAACTCAACACTATCCGAATCCTATTGTCTATCGGTGCCAATCTGGATTGGAGATTACATCAATTAGATGTGAAGAATGCATTCCTTAATGGTACACTCGGAGGAAGAGGTGTATATGAAGTATCCCCCAGGATTCGAGAAAGAAGGAGAAGTAAATAAGGTCCGTAAATTGAAAAAATCATTGTATGGCTTGAAACAATCTCCTAGAGCTTGGTTTACAAGATTTAGCACTCGTGATGAAGAGTCTTGGGTACCACCAAGGACAAGCGAGATCACACATTATTTGTGAAGAGAAGTGAGTCGGGTAAACAAGCTATACTCATTGTATATGTTGATGATATGGTGATCACAGGTGATGATGAAGTGGAAATTAGCAATCTCAAGAAAAGACTTCGAGGCAGAGTTCATGGTAAAAGATCTAGGAAAACTAAAATACTTTTTAGGGATGGAAGTCGCAAGGAGTCGCAAAAGAATTTTCATTTCACAAAGGAAGTACACACTAGATTTACTCAAAGAGACGAGAAAGCTTGGTTGTAAGCCTTCTAGTACACCTTTGGAAAGACACTCGGAAGCACAAAATATCGGATGATGATCCCCGAGTAAATAGAGAAAGGTATCAACACTTGGTAGGAAAACCGATTTATTTATCACTCACAAGACCGGACATTGCCTTTAGTGTAAGTATAATAAGTCAATTTATGCATGCTCCCACTAAGAGGCATATGGAAGCAACAAATCAGATTCCGAGATACTTGAAGGGGAGTCCTGGCAAAGGTCTCGTTGTTTAAGAAAAATGAAGCTAGAGATGTTGTTGGCTTTTCGGATGCGGATTAGGCAGGAGGTATTGATGATAGCAAGTCAACAACTCGGATATTGTACCAACGTATGGGGAAATCTAGTGACTTGGAGAAGCAAGAAACAATCTGTGGTGACTCGGAGTAGTGCGAAGCCGAGTATAGAGCTATAGCTCAAGAACCCGTGAACTTATTTGGATTCAGAAGTTAATGACAGACCTAAACATGCCGAAACAAGCCCTATGAACTCGTTCGGTGACAGCAAATCAGCTATTAGTATTGTTCACAATCCAGTCCAACATGATCGAATGAAACATGTGAGGATTGACGAAATTTTATCAAAAATGAGATAGACAATGGAACTATTGTTCGTCCTATGTCCCTACCAAATCTCGGGAAGCTGATATTCTAACAAAAGCTCTTCGGAAATCAAGTTTTGATATCTGTCTTAGCAAGCTGGGAATGACCAATATCTATTCACCAGCTTGAGGGGGAGTGTGGGAAATATGCCTCCAATTTAGGAGGAACAGAATCTTCCTATTTAGGAAGAAATCAATCACCGTAATCACAAAAAATCAGGAGGAAATATGGCCCTAATTTCCTATTCTAATTTTCCTAAATTGTGGCTTCCTATTCTGGTGTATATGGCTACTATAAAAGGAACCTGCTGCTGCTGTATATGGCCCTAATTTCCTATTCTAATGTGGATGTAGGTCTTCATGACCGAACCACGTTAAACTTTGTGTTTTTTTCTTCTTATATTTTTGTTTTATTTACTAATCAGCATGCCACAGTATCTGACATGTGCCTATGCCAATTCAATGCATGGCATGACAGAAAAAGCAAACTGTTAGGGAAGGGCCCCAGCCTTCAAGAAGAATGCAACTCAACTTTGCCATAGTAATAAATATATGTGACACAACATTCATAAAAAATATCAGTTGAAGTTCACAGAAAAAAGACTGATAATAAGTACCTTTGAAGCTTGCTGAAATAAAAAACTGGTCTGCTCCATTCCACTAATCTGACATATTAACAAGAAATCACCATCACAGATGCAAGAAAAATGCATATTGGTAGTCCCAATAGATGAAAATTGACTTACCAGGTTAATGTCAGTATAAATTACTGTACCCGATCCAGTCCTTCCAAATTTTCCATCTTTAGATGAGAATGCATGTGTGGAATTAGGCAAAAACCACCCATCAATGCGAGCAAAATCACGTAGGCCAAGTTGTCGAAATAAAATAGATGCTCCTTCTCGAATATTTTCAATTACATTGAGAGGAAAACGAGGTGGAGTGTGATAAGCTACCTGTGAAGAAAGCAAGACCTTCTGAGACTAGAACAATGAACGGATGCATTACAGAGATTTTACCCACCACAACTCAACACACATATGATGCATCATACATGCATCCATTACACATAAAAAGAAAAGGGAATAAGATATTATATTCTTTGTGAAAACTGCAAATGCAATAATAAATTCTTAGATACACTCCTGCTATACCTGTTGTGTTGGAAGATACTTCCTTCGGTAATTGAAAATGCCATCTTTTTCCCTCACGTCAACGCTGCCATGAAATTTAAGCTCCACCTGCACCATCAATGACATATTACTAGAACATGGTCCTTCATTAGGTTACTCTAATTAGGTTACTCTAATTTTGTAGCTTAGTTTTCTAAATCTTGTAAAGAACTACTATACAAGAGCACTTTTGGAAGAATTCAACACAGGAGAAGAATATTAAAAGTGATATTTCAAATTAAAAAACACACGCTTTAGAGTATAGCCAATGAAAAAAAAAAACACTCCACAATTCACCATCATCTCATAAGAAAATGATGAATAAATAAATACTATTTAAAAACTCTTAAAGCACCTTAGCAGATTTAAACCATCATTGCCAGCAAAATGAAACAAAAGCATGAATCCATGTTCTTACACTACCATGAGAGGTCCAATGCGAAAATGACTATACCTCAGTTGGCAGTAGAACAACAGGATGGCAATCAAAACCAGATCCCACATCAAGGACAATTGCTGTAAACTCGCTCCCTCCTTCAAGAAATATTTCAACAATGACTTTATCATCTATCCCCTTTTAGACATGAAAAGACACATCATTCTTGTCAGATGAACCTTCTCACATGGTTTAAAACATAAAATTTTCTAGTAGTTGTTCTGTAGCCCAAATGCAACAACTTTCCAGTTTGCTAATCGTATTTTTTTTCTTTGCTAAATTCTTCAGACTTTAGAAGAAAAAAAATTCCTCCCAAACTTCTAGGAATATTACCTTTGCAAACTAAGTATTCATGGTACCAAAATGGTAACATGGTTTAAAACGTAAAATATTTCATGGTTTAAAACTCACTCCCTCCTTCGAGAAATATTTCAACAATGAATTTATCATCTATCTCCTTTTAGCCATGAAAAGACACATTATTCTTGTCAGTTGAACCTTCTCACATAGTTTAAAACATAAAATTTTATGGTAGTTGTTCTGTAGCCTGAATGCAACAACTTTCCAGTTTGCTAATCATATTTTTTTCTTTGCTAAATTCTTCAGACTTTAGAAGAAAAAAATTTCCTCCCAAACATCTAGGAATATTAACTTTGCAAACTAAGTACTCATGGTACCAAAAAGGTAACCTGGGCTTTAACACCTTCCTGAAATTGCAGGAAAATAAACTAAAACTTAAACATAAGTTCAAGCAATCTCAGTACCTTCCGTGTAAAGTTGGTCTAGTGTTTTGGCACAAGTTGGTAAATTTCAAAGCATGCATTACTAAAAAATGTTATAAAATCCAAATTACCTCTAAAATGAGATCATTTGCTTTTCTAAGGGAATCAGAAACACCATAAGCAACTGTAACTCCAATACTTGATCCAGCTCTAGCTGGCTTTACCTGCAAATATATAAGGACAAGTTTGAGATCCTAAGGCCAAACCATCTTATTACAGGTTTTATCATACTAATCAAACTAACATGACGAAGTGTGTCTTACCACAACTTTTCCAGAGTTAGGGTCCAATTGATTGCTCGTGAACCACTTAGATAATTCAGATTCATTAGTTTCACTTCCCTAAATGCCAAATTCATGTGTCAGCATATCCACTCATAACCAGATAAACTGCAACCTAAATGCATATGAATTGAGCAGGTGGTATGCATATCCAGCGCTAAATTAATACATAATCATAAAAAAAAAATGACCCAAACAGGTGTGACAAAAGGACAACAAACTACCAAATAGTTGGGAACCATACCTGGACTGGGAAACTAGGTACAGTTATAAATCCTTGTTTGCTCATCTCCAAGGAGGCATCATACTGTCAATATTTAAATGCAAATGGTTAACCTCATCTCACTGAAGAAAGTACCAAGTTTTGGCACAAGTAACATTCAAGAAGTTATCAAGGGTATATGAATTATGGTGGCATGAACATTTACTTCTCAATTGTCTGTTCACAAACAATAACTGTTATTACCTAAGCATCTATCAATAATAATGTGGACATAGGAAAAATCAACTAATCAGGTGGACAAAGGAAAATGCAAGTAAAAATTGATTCTCAAAATTGCCAGCAACAATCTACTAATGAAGTTCTCGTTTTATCATTCCTCCAGAGATACCCACAAGTTTCAAATAATAAATACATGACACACAGAAACTTTAATTCAATACTATGGGCTCCCAGACCAAATAATCTATTACAAAGAAAAAGACTGCCTCCTTTACCTTGTCAAATGCTTTACGACACTCACTTGATCCCGTTCCAATAAATGGAACATTATACTTTTCCAACAACTCCTGAATAAAACACCACCACACATTACAAAAATATATCTCTCAAAACAATATTCTATGATGAAAATGATCACGCTATATATAATGCACCTGAATTCCACCATCTTCACCAAAACGACCATGAATAACAGGGAACACTATATCCACAGAAGCAGCAAGATGTTCTGCAAATTCATCCAATGACGAAAAACCTTTGGCAAGGCTGTACAGAGCACACAATTAGCCATCTCTCTCTACATCTTCACCAATTACACCAACATTCTTAACAACAAAACCTTGAAAAATAAAAATAAAAAAACAGAAAGGTAAAATTCTATATTTAAATTACCTTGCAAGTTTAAAATCAAAATCTGCCGGAGTATTCGAATATACCTGAAAGATAAATCACAATTAAAACTTGTAACTGACTAACCAACCAACCGACTCACTGTAACTAACTAACTAACCTGAGCAGATGATATAGCGAATGCATTCAAATCATAGTCAATATAATAGCAGCTGACTTGCAAATCATCTCCCTGTAATAACAAAATTTCAATACCAGAAAAGAAATAAAGAATATCGAGTATTACAAATATGCCTCGTATAGAGTACCTGTATGTGATCAAGAACTGATCTAGCAGAGTTGAGTGAAATTCCACGCTCAGCAGACGGACCTCCACAAATCAAACCAACTTTTAGAACTCTACTATCCTCTTTCACTACTCGATCACCATCTACCACTACCTCCGTCGTGGCGGTGGCGCGTGTAACTCCAACTCCTAAACATCGCGTCTTCGAAAAACAAGGATCACTCAACTTCCCGTTCCATTTCAGCAAGTTGGAGTTATCAAGCAACAAGTTCCTTCCAACGGCATCGTTTTTGTAGCTTCCGTTACGGAGAAAAGAGAGCTTTGAAGCGAAAGAAAGAGACGATGATGATGCCATTGGAAGAGAATTAGGATTTGCTGTTGAGGAGTTGAATTAGGTTTACTATTTAATGGAGAAGAGAAGTGAGAGTCAAGAAGAGAGTGATTGGTTTTGTATTCATTCATTTTGAAAGTTTTCTTGTCTTCTGAAACAAAAATGAAAAGGTTTTTTGGGGCCGGCAGTGTAATGCCAACGCCGATTACAAGTAAGAAAAATAAAAAGGATAAACTTTATTTTTAGTCCAATAAATTTATCTATGTTCCATTTCTAGCCCTATAGTTTTAATATTATTAACTTTACCCTTCTAGTCCGAAAATTCCAACATTACCCCTATCCATTAAATGTTTTCATGGGATACTATTATTATACTAACCTTTATTTATGTGGATTTGGGAGGAAAATTAAGAAAAACTAAAATAAAAAAATATGAATAAGTCTTAGTTTTTTATTAGTTATTGTAGGGGTTAATTATTTGTTCCTTCACTATACTATAAGTAATTGATTAATCAAATTTATGTATCTACTTAAGTATTAATTTGATTTTTATATCAAATTAATTTGTTTAACGTTAGCTATTTATTAGTGATTTTGCCAACAACGTTAAGTAAGTTATATAATCGATTTCATACCTATCTTTTGACTTCGTTGATCTCGTTAATTATTATTTTTTCTATTTTTATTACAAAAAATATTATTGAAATTATAAAAAAATTGAAAAAAATAAAATTTTATCCCACCATTTTTAAACTATATGTGGTCTTTAATTTTTACTTTTATTTTATAATTTTAATAAATAATTTTTGTTACAAAAAATGATTTGAAAAAATAACAGATCGGATCAAAAAGATTAAAGTACATGTGTCATGTAATTATGTAATTTATTTAATATCATCAACAAAATCATTAATGATGGTTTATATTAAACAAATTGATTCAATATAGTATCTAATTAGCACTCAAATTGATATAAAAATCTTATTAATCAATTTTTTATAATATAGGGACGGTACGGATCGTTAGCCCGTGATTGTATTTAATGGAGAAAATTGGAACTTTTCGAAAACTGTAGGAGTAATATTATGGAAATTTAGACTAGCGGGATGAAAGTGTAACATTGATGCAACTATAAGAGCAAAAATAGTTTACCCAAAATTTAAAAACGGAAGTGCGTTTTTCTTATTGACCATGTGGGGTCTTCATGTGAGGATTTGGTTTAATCTGTTATCTTTTAATTTATTCTGATAATAATGGATAATTTATTACCATCATTTTGGTTGGTTTTGTTTTATTCAGATTCTGTTTCTGTTTTGGTTTTTAATTTTTTTTAAAAGAGAACAATGTTATTGGACGTACCATGCAATGGATTCTTGCTTTTGGTCGTACTCTACCATTCAAAACCCTTCTGCTATTATATCCACTTGTTTCATTCAAGTTAATAATTGTCTTAGATCTTGATCTTAATATCCGAACTCACAAAATGAAAGAGTAAGTATACATTCTTTATCATCAGGCATACTCTTTGAAGTTTGCAACAAATTCTAATGCCTAGAAGTGACTTTGGTTGGATGCAACATCATGTGTTTTTGTTAAAGAAATGGCAATGGAGATTGCATCCATCGTCCACGGGACTAAGTAAACAGAGGAACTGTAATATTGTGCGGTTCAATCAAGTATTCTTTTAAAATCTTGATTCTTGACGGGACATGCTTATATATATATATATATATTAGTTTTTATATTAATCGAAACCATATCTATTTTTTTTAAAGTTAAATCGAGTGTGAGAACACATTTATTTTTTAATCGATCATTGAACTCTTTTTTAGATTCAATCAGTTCAAGTCTAGTACCACTAAAAAAATAATTATAAATAATTATATGTGAATAATAAGAATTGAATCTTGATCTTAATCAAATTAAAACAACCTTCTTTCTTCATAACTCGTGTTGGGCTAGAGGTCTAGTGGCTCACTATTTAGTATATGGTTTGGGTCCTTAACATATTTTCGAAGCATGAACACATGAAATGCATTATGAATTAAGGAGAGAGAAGGTGGTAATACTAATTTGTATGCTCTGTCACCGATTCTCTTTACTATTTCATATGGCCAAATATACTTCATACTTAATTTTTCTTTTCTTCCAAACCTCATAACACCTTCATGGGAGCAACATTTAAAAATACTTTATCGCCGACCTCAAATTCCAATTCCTTTCTCCTTACATCGAGCATAACCTTTTTGTCTGCTTTGAGCAATTTTCATTCGTTCTCTAATTCGTTGCACCACATTAGTTGTTTGTTGAATCAACTCCGGCCTCGACAATTTCCTTTCACCTATATCATCACGATCTATTGGTGATCGACACATCCTTCTATATAAAACTTCATATGGTACTACACCAATACTTGCTTGATAACTATTATTGTAAGCGAACTCAAGTAATGATAGGTATCTTTCCCGGTTGCGAACCGAGTCTTGTAACATATCCTCTAATATTTGGTTCACCCGTTTTGTTTGTCTATCCCTTTATGGGTGGAAGGCCATGTTAAATTTTAATTTGGTTCCCATCACCTCATGTAAACTTTTCTAAAATCATGATGTGAACCACGGATCTCGATTAGACATGATAGATATTCCAATTCCATGCAACCTTACAACCTTCCTTAAATATAATTCTATATACTATTGCATGGAATACATTAACTAAATTGTTAGAAAGTGAGTTAATTTGGTTAATCGATCCTCAACAACCCAAATACCATTAGCTTCACATTCCAATTGTGACAATCCAAATATCAAAATCTATTGAGATATGTTCTCATTTTCACTCAAGAATATCCAACGAGTCTTAAAATTTTTGAAGGTCTTTGGTGTTCAACTTTAATTTGTTAACATGTCAAACACCTCACCACAAATTCTACAATATCATGTTTCTTTCTCTTCCACCAATATATCTTTTTTAGATCTTGGTATATTTTTGTACCATTAGGGTGTATGGTGTAGGGCGTGGCATAAGCTTCCTTCAAAATTTTCTCTCGAAGCTCTTTTACATCGGGAACATGATAGTGCCGGATACCTTCATTATCAATGGTAAAATCCGTTGTTCTTCCCTTAGCTATTTTTTGCTAAATCTTAAGCAACTCTACATCGTGTAAGCTGTCTTTCCTTAATCCTTTGCTTGGTATCCGGTTGTAGTGTCATTGCACCCAACAAATTCACCTTACTTCTTCGAACACAATTTTCAATTGGAGTTTTTCTATGTCTCATGCAATTTGCACTTGTAAAGCTCTCATTCGCTACTCAAAACATCGGCACGATGTTCATTTTACTAAGATGATAGTGAAAAATGATATCGTGATCATTCGGTATTTCGAGCCATCTTCTTTGCCTCATATTTAATTCCTTCTAGGTGAAGATATATTTAAGGCTCTTATGATCGATTTAGATATTACATCAAATGACATACGAGTAATGCCTCTAAATTTTTAAGGCAAAGATAACAATAACCAATTCTAAATCATGAGTGGGGTAATTCTTTTCGTAGTCCTTCAATTGTCTAGATGAATATGCAATCATCCTTCCATCTTGCATCAACGTTGCCCCTAACCCAATTAGAGAGGCATTGGTATAGATTGTAAAATCTTCATTATCCTTTGTGAGAGCCAATACTAGGGTCGTAATTAGTCTAAATTTTAGCTCTTGAAAACTTCTTTCACATTTGTCATCCCACTCGAACTTAATATTTTTCCTCATCAATTGAGTGAGAGGCACGACTATTCTAGAGAATCCTTTTACAAATTTTTGATAATAGCTTGCAATCCTAAGAAAACTTCTTAGTTTTGACACATTTTTCAGCTATTTCCATTCCTACACTACTTATACTTTAGTAGGATCTACCATAATCTCATTTTTGGATATAACATATCCAAGAAATGCTACTTACTCGAGCCGGAATGCATATTTTTTGAGTTTATTATACAATTTATGCTCTTGCAAGTTTGTTTTTATAACCGACTCAAGTGTCACCTAACAAAACTAAACCATCTTTATTTTTATCATCATTTTCTACCAAGTTTGAATCGATTTCAACCTTAATTCCTCATTATTAAGGTGGCTATGCAAATTAAACTGCGAAGATGATCAAAGGCATCGATGGTAAACACAAACTATTTCAATCGGGCATAAAAAACACAAACTATTTCAATTAGGCATAAACATACAATAACGAAAAAACAGACCAACATAAATATTATTCTCGTGAACTGCCGATGCCATTAAAACTCGTATGGTGTAGAGTTGGTAGCTTATCTAGGTTAAAATGATTTTGATAATAAATTCTAGTGCATATTGATTAGCCTCTCCATTAATAAGTTACGAGAGAATTATATAGTGACATGAACAAAATATACTTGACTCGACACTTCGATCCTTCTATATGATGAGAATAAAAGCATCGGTTCATTTCATATATGAATTGTACAGGGTATCAAGACAACCTTCGAGTTTTATTTATCAATTAGATATGGAAATTTAAAGGAATATATATGTTATAGCTAGTGTTATGGTATTAATATATACAACTCTTGAGAGCAATATTTTGAATGATAAAAGACAAGAATCACTAGAATTTTTAGGTCAAATCATCCTTTTGTTATTTGGCCTTCAAAGCATTTTCACTTTCAACAAAAGTGTGGCCTTCCAAAAATCTTATAAGACATTATATTTGAGGCTAGAGCCAACTCAATAATGTTCACAACATGTAATGTTGAGATCAGTACAATATTTACCAAATTTAGATTGCAGTTGATTTAATAAAACTTGAAATTCCAAATGAAAGAAACTACAAAAATTAAACTTATATGCCCAAAGAAAAATATGTACCAACTTGGAAATGCTATCGAATTCCTTGACAATGGAAGTGAACGTTACAACATCCTCCTCATCAATTGCAATAGCTAAATCCTAAAAAGTTATAACTAAAACCTATGAGCATGATGAAAACACAAGCAAAATGAC